TTCGAAACTTAAATCGTTGTTCTATTATTCACCTATTACTAGAATGCTTGAGGCATATAGCTCAAGGCTTGGCTTCATGTGGCTAATAAGAGTACAATTCAGAATGTTATTTGGATGATCCCCTGCATTCATCTTCAAGAGTTTCCAGAATCTTTGTGTTAAGCAGTTTGCTTCTGCCAGTGACTTTTTTATTTCTAATAATAATTACGATAATTATTGCATTTCATCTCTATGGCACCTGCCAATTTCATTTCATGGCATTTATGTTATGCATCTGTATGCAAAAGTACATTAATCAGAGACAATAATGGTCTTAACTTTGCTTTTAAGAGGAAAACATCATTCATGCCACATAAACAAATCCATTCCCTTGGATTCCACATTACGTGGAATAAATGCCTCCCTTGGTATACAAAATTGGAATTCTTGTTTTCATCATCTCATTCAGGTGGAAACCTCCTCTCATACCACTCCTTGAGCCCAACTAAATGTACATTACAGCTGAAATCCTGTTGGCATAACTGTGACTGAAGAAAGTGGGTGATAGCAGCAGGGGGAAATTGTGAGAAATTAAACAGCTCCTAATTCTGTCCCTCAGCTCCCATGAATCCTGTGTGTAATTTCTTTCACTGTGTGGAAGCCATGGTGCCCAGGAGATCGAAGGAGGAACTCCTTAATTACTGAAAATTACCACCGCCGGGAATGTTAATACCTTGTGTTAATATAATTTTACTACACAATAACAATTTACTTATAATTAACTCTGTTTTGCAGTAACTGAGTTACATTGTAATTGTCTTATAATAAGGGAATACCTTGCTCCTTTTATGTTGTGATTATAAATGTTTTTATAGTTATAGTTATAGGATTTTTAGATTTCCCCCCTAAAGTTATTAAAAATAATTGCTGCCGTTGCAACAGGCAAAACAGAACTATCTTTTAACTCATAGTTATAATCACTGGCATTTGCAGTGGGGATTGAGACAAAATTATAACTAATTACTTTTTTAAAGTAACATATCCAAGCTCTCATAGTATACGTATAGCTGAACAAGTAAAATGCCTGTGATTATACCATCACAAAAACTTATCCCTCCCACCACCAACCTGTAGGTAGGCTGCACCCTCTGTTAAAAAAGTGGTTTCTCCCCACTTTTTCAAAATCAGAAGTGGCCTGAATAACACATTTTGTTTTAAAAAAGCAACAGAGAAACCCTCCACCTCTCAAGGACTGTCCTTCCAGAAGCCTCCAAGAGTGATGATTCTCCATCTTTCTTTGGGGAAAAGAGGGAAGGGCAAAAACAGCCAGGAGGGTTTTAGGACTAAGGTGGTCACATGTCCACTTTTCAAGACAGTCCTCCATTGGAAATACTGCCAGAGGACACTCGTACTTTTGGAGGCTGTCCAGTCCAGTTCTGGTTTAAGGATAAAGAACTACGAGGAGGGAGAAGTTGCTCATCCATATCTTCTGCACATCATCTGGTCAGCAGAATCAGGAGACACACAGGTTCCCTGTCACTGTCTTCCCACTTGTGCGAGATATTTTCTAATTTTGCCTCTGTATATATATAAAAAACCAGCATCTCCAATTCCATGCAGACCAGTATTCTTCTTGGTTGGTGATGCATACTCTCCTTTTGGTGATGTGTAAGTGATCACCTGGGGGCCACAAAAATTGTTGTGAAGCACCACCTGGCCAGCAAGCTTCATGATTCCCACCCCTGAGTTATTGCCTGTGTGACAAGAAAACATGAACACAATGATATCACAGCATATTTCCTCTCCTTCACTTCACGTACAAATCATCCGAGACACAGCAAAGATGTGTGAGTCAGCAGTACCTATTCAATGAATCTACATGGAGTATTTGGAGACAGACTATTCCTTGGTGGGCCATCTTCACAATTTCCTGGCCAAACTGCACATTAATCTGTCATTAGATCTGAAACCACATTAGTCAGGTATTCAGAGCTGTGATCCATGCAGCCTTTCAGATCTTATAAGTTAGCTTTATAAAGACAAAGCTGCTTATGACCTTGAAAACCAATCACAAAACAAGACAAGCTAGTTTGCCAGTCATGGGAAGTAGGAAAAGCTCCTGCTGTGACAATTACACACAACTAGACCTTAAGGAATTTCTTCCAGTGATTTAATATCCATCTGGACCTTCATTTTTTCAACTTGATCTGCAACTCCATTAGGCTACAAAGATAGTAAAAATGCCTCTATAATGTTCTCAGTTACAAAAGAACAACCCCGTTTCCCCAAAAACAAGACCTAACTTTAAAATAAGCCCTGGTATGATTTTTCAGGATGCTTGTAATATAAGCCCGCCCCTACCCCAAAAATAAGCCTCAGTTAAGTGAAACCCTGCCCTCCACCATTGTGCAGCAACCAGAAGAAGATGACATGACTGTATTTGCATATATGTAGATTGTCATGCCTGGAAAAAATAAAACATCCCCTGAAAACAAGCCCTAATGTGTTTTTTGGAGCAAAAATTAATATAAGACCCTGTCTTATTTTGGGGGAAACACGGAATTTGCTAATAGGATCAGTACAGCGGTGGAAAGGGTTCAATTCCATCTCTGTCCTTGATCTGATCTCTTGAGTTTTCAATTCCCCCAAAGTTATTTGCATGTTTATTTTTTCCAAACATGTTTAATTTGTAGCCAAGTGTTTTGGGTGTGAAAAAATGTTTGGTTTTGCTGCAAGACCACACTTAGCATACTAGTTGGGACAGACTGGGAGTTGTAGTCCAAAAAATAAACTTTTCCAAGCATTGGCCTTACTCACATGCTGCCTCCAATCCATTTAAATATGGATAACAATTTGTCCAGGGAGTAAAAAATAAATTTAAAAAATCAGCTTAGCTGGGCCTGCCATATACTTGTCTTCCTTGTATGCCAAACCTTGATGTAATCTGTGCTGCTCTCTCTTCCCTATGTGGACTCAGATTCAAATAATTGCTGTTTCTTTGACACAGCCCACATTTTGGTAATATATCCCAACCAGCAAGCTACAGTCTGAGCGTTCCCTCCTAATCATAAATGCAAAACTTGTTGGATCCTAGTTCGGAATTCTCGCTTGGAGAGTAATAAGTCATGATTTGTTGGCTGAGAATAATAGTATATCATCTGTTGTTCTGAAAAGAAGGTACTTAGCTGAATTTAAGAATGTGAGGAGACTGGAGAGGAAGGTGATTGTAAATCCAGTTCTTCAAATCCATAACGCGGGGTAATTAAGAACACTACTTCTAAGCTATAACACTTGAGGTTTTGCATTTTTAAGAAGATGTTTCTGATAATAAAAATGGGGATAATCACACAAATGTCATGTGTGGCCATCCTCGCACAAGTTGCAAGGTTGGTCTTGTGACAGGTCACACAAGAAGCCTGCTGGAGCAGGGAGAGAGAACTTAAGCAACTACACTTCTACCTTCCATTTAGGCAATAGGATGCAGGGCTCTCTGTCTCACAGTACACCATCATCCTTATCACCCAATTAACTTATTCAATCTTATCTAATTCCAGCAGCTAAGCAGAAAGAAATACCAAGGAGTTCCATTTGGGCCAGAAATAATTTTGCTTAAAACCATGGGTACTGCCAACCAAAGTTGACAGTACTGGTTTAGATGGATCAAAAGTTTCACTCTGTATGTTCCATCTAATGATACTGCATATATATAGAGCCTCGTGGCGCAGTGGTTAAAACGCTGTACTGCAGCTAAAACTGTGCTCACGACCTGGGGTTCAAATCCCAGGCAGCCGGCTCAAGGTTGACTCAGCCTTCCGTCCTTCCGAGGTCGGTAAAATGAGTACCCAGCTTGCTGGGGGGGCAATGTGTAGCCTATATAATTAAAATTGTAAACCGCCCGGAGAGTGCTTGTAGCGTTATGGGGCGGTATATAAGTCCAATAAATAAATAAATAAAAATAAATAAAATATATTAGTGCGACTGTGCACATGCCACTTCTTTATTTAGATTTTGTTTATTTTTGGATAACACCCATCAAGCCAGATAGAATGAGACTCTACTTTATTATTATTATTATTCCATTTTTATTTACAAGTATGTAAACTTATCACAGACGTACACAGAGGATCATCAGGCTGGTGAAATTAGGGTCCAATGCATGTTAATGACACAAGGTTGATTGATTCTCAAGGAGGTAAAAGGAGGACTTGTTTGTTAATAGACTTTATAGAAAATCTTATAAAAATGACATCATCGTTGTCTCATTGGCTGACATCACATATTGAAATACAGGGATTAATTTATGTTCTCGTTTTCCAACTTTAACACACCTTAGATGCAAATGCTTCAATATTAAGTCAATAATAGTTGCATTCCAGCCACACTGGAACATGTATTTCACAATTTAATCTGTGTTTTATTTCAGTAAATGTAAACTGTGACCTAAGTTTCATGGATTTCTACAAGGCTTAAGCTCAAATAACTTTTTGAGTAATAAGCAATATGTCCAGAGAAAGTTTTAGTAATCTAATTGTTTATTACAGAACTGTCTGTCTCCAAATCCACCATAAGGAGAACCAGATAATTATTATAAGGCAAAGATAATAATGAAACTAACTCAACTGGTTTATTGTTCTCCATTTATTGTTCATTCTCTGAAATGAACAAAAACAAAGATCACAACAAATAAAGTCTATTTTATATATTTTTAAAGCTAGTTCAGACATAATCATCAGTTCCCAAACACATGCTCTACTAGTAATAGCATAAATAATGAAAGGTTAGTAGGAAAAATATTGTTTTCTTCTTACATAAGCATCTGAAGATTGCCCAAAATGAACTCCATTGGAGATAGGTACTCATTTTAGATAATGAACACACCTTTATTATATTTTTGTTGAGGACTAATTATGTCCTGCAGGAAATTCCATGCAAATGATGAAACCATAAAGTTCTGGAAAATAGAAGGAGATTGATGTGACAGAGGTGGTCTTGAAGATGTAAGTTTCTGAAGGTGGTATGTCCTAGGTACAAACTTCCTCAAACTCGCTGTAAGGAGATGAAGCTAAAGAGGTCTTAGATTCTCCATCACTGTTACAGTCTCTTCTTAAATTCAGTCCAGAAGCACCTGCAGCATCTGCAGCAGGAAGGGCTGCTTTAGCATTTGTCCCTAAAGGATGGTAGTCCAGCAAATTCTGAAGATGTTTGATGTAAGTTATGGCAGCTCTCAAGGTTTCCACTTTGCTGAGACGCTTGTCAGCAAGCTCTTTAGGAAGATGGTCTCGGAGCCTTGCGTACCCCTCATTCACACAACGAACCCTCTGCCTCTCTCTTTCGTTCCTCTTCCGAATGAAGGCAGGTTCAAAAGGGTAGTCATAGACCCCAACATATCCAGAAAAGGGTAGGTAGGAGAATCTTCCAGAATATCCATTGAAAGCTTGATGGTCCCAGTATGTTGGTTCAAAATGGAAAGGAACACTATATGGTTCTTGGAGTGGTATACTGTGAGGACTGGCAACGTGGCTGCTTCCAAAGGATGCTGGTCCTGAAAAGGAGATCCTGTTCAATAGCCCATCATCTTTATTACTTCCCATTTTAAACTATGCAACAGCTTCCAAAATAAGAAGTTAATTCTATAGAACTAATCCATCAGTGGGAAGGTTAAATACACAAGACACTCTGCTTCACAGTATACTTGATCTTCACAATGCTCACAGCTGCAGCAATATGCCCAGCGGTTTGTGGCAGCCGTCATTCCACTCTTCTGCCTGAATTATCTGCTGCGTTCGTGTATCTGTTATTACAGAGGCAGGATACCTTTTAATTTGTAAGGAGGCTTTTAGGACCATCACTCCACACTTTAAACCCTGGTTTTTCCTCTGATCTTCATATTTCAAAAGATAATGAGAGGGTTCCTGTGTTCCTTTTCTCCTACCTTGGATGTTTGACTAGAGAGGTAAAACCAAACATAAATAATCTTCCAGGGTGTAAACACTCCTCATGTATTGTAATCCACAGCGCCCTTTGATATTGCTTGCCTCCAAAAGGATGGGTAACTTGAAAGTTTGCAAGCATCTGCCAAGTCCTGCCAGAGCTCCTCCTCTGCCGCCTTTTTCTGAAGAATCAGGATCTCCTGTTGGCTGAAAAATCAGTCAAAGCCTTTCTCTGCCCAAGTCTGAAGGGCAAGAGGAGCCATTGTTTCCTTCTTCTGTTTTAAAGCAACTGGATCAGTCAGTTCACAGAAAAGTTTGCAAAGTTTTCCCATATCTGCCTAGTTTTGAGAGGTGGGGAGGGGGTAGATATCTCAGAGGTTTGGTATCAAGGGAAAGAGTGCTCCCTTGTGGTTATGTCAGTGAAGGTACAGTATCTACAAAAAACAGTTAATAAAGCTTATTTATCTGCCTTTTAGCATGCCCTGCTCTTAGAAGGCATTGCCCTTGCAGTACATGCATCTTTACTCAAACAGTTCACTCAAATGTTCCCCTGCATCCAATTTCTTCCCCTTTCTCTGCTGCTTCTCTGTAAAATTGTAGGTTGTATGTCCTTTGAGGCAATGACATCTCACCTCATACTTTGTAAAATGGCACACACATTAATGACACAAAACATCAGTATCAGTACAAGATAGACTATGTTTGCTTCACTTAAACTCATTTCTTGTGTTGTAAGCTTTGACAAGATGGGCATCCAATGTTCTGATTGTATTCTGGATAGATGCTACTAAGGATGTTGCCTATGAATGATTCCGTTTCAGTTTGATAATTGATGTAGCTGAATTGGCTGCTTGGTATTGGATTTCTTGAATTTATTTTAGTTTATTATCATCATGAATCAAACTGTGGTGATAAGGAAGTAGAGATCTCGAAAACACGAGTGTGGCGTTTACCCTGTGGCCCCTGCCTGTTTCACCAAACACAGAGTGAAAACACAAGTGTGGCGTTTACCCCGTGGACCCTGCTTGTTTCACCAAACACAGAGTTCACACGAGTATCCCAACACACCCTTTAACGCACTGCCACCAGTTGATCTCTTTATCAACTTATATTTCCTATGAAAGATTGAGGTCCATTCAGTACTGAACTTTTAAACAGAAACAGGTTTATTCATTACAAGATGTTTTAGGTATAGTTCTTAAGTACATTCTTAAAGTTACACAAAGCTTCAGTATTTTACTTCTATCTTAATACAGTTCACACTCTGACTAATCACCCTCTTCTATATTAATACAGGTCACACTGACTAATCACTTGTTAAACACTCTCTCTGCCTCAAACCCCTAAAACTCTTTCTCTCAACTCCGTCTCTGACTGAACTAACTAGACCAGTGGTGTCCAACCTTGGCCCTCCAGATGTTCTTAGACTACAGCTCCCAGAAGCCTTCACCACCACCTCTGCTGGCCAGGATTTCTGGGAGCTGAAGTCCAAGAACATCTGGAGGGCCAAAGTTGGACACCACTGAACTAGACTCTGACTCACACCTCCCTTCTGGTTTCTCAGGCTCTGCCTCACAACAGCTCTCATTGGTGCAAGCAAATAAGCCGAAGCAAGGTGATCCCTACAATGAGTAAGAGCAAAGTAATACAGGTCCCCCTTTGTGCCCCTTCCCACTGAATTGGCAGCACTGTAGACAACAGAAGAAAAATAAAATATTTCTTCATATGAAGAAGCTTGGGGCCCAAGCCAGCTGGATCCCAGATAAGGCTAGCCCCACTAAAATTAAAGTGATGACTGAATTAGACTACTGTAGCCACTTATATTTTTCTCACATTGAAAAGAGCCTCGTGGCGCAGTGGTTAAAACGCTGTACCACTGAAAAACAGCAAAATGCCAATAAAAGCTTGGGGCCCAAAATTAAAGTGATGACTGAATTAGACTACTGTAGCCACTTATATTTTTCACACATTGAAAAGAATGAGAAAACAAGATACATATTTGCGTAAAAGTACATGTGCGTGTTTATACACATGGATGCAAAATGAAACATTATTTTTGTAATTCAAAGAGAATAACGGTGTGTTTTGCTCAAATGGGAGAGACAGGGACTGAGACTGGGGGCTGTGTGTCTGATGAATCTCTTGTCCAGATGCGAATGGTAGATTTGCTACTTCTTCCTTACAATTCTTAAATGCTGAATGAGCCCTTCAAATGGCAGAGATGCGTAAAAGCACATGTGCTTGTTTATACGCATGGATGCAAAACGAAACATTATTTTTGTAATTCAAAGAGAATAACGGTGTGTTTTGCTCAAATGGGAGAGACAGGGACTGAGACTGGGGGCTGTGTGTCTGATGAATCTCTTGTCCAGATGCGAATGGTAGATTTGCTACTTCTTCCTTACAATTCTTAAATTGGTGTGTTTTGCTCAATTGAGAGAGACAGGGACTGAGACTGGGGTCTGTATGTCTGATGAATCTAATGGTAGATTTGCTACTTCTTCCTTACAATTCTTAAATGCTGAACGAGCCCTTCAAATGGCAGAGATCTTCAAAAGAAGAATTGTCTTCTGGCCACCCTTCAGATGGAGGCCCATCATTCCGAAGTGAAGATATGTGCCCCTAAGATAGAAACATCTAATTTAATCTCCACAGTATTCATAACGTGACTTTTCATTAAAATTGACAAATTACAGTGGCACTCTGTTCTGCAAAACCTTATATATTTTGGTACATAGTGCAAATTCTCTTCCAAATTGTTTCTCTGCCCCCCCCCAGTATTTATTGTAAATTAATTTGGTATTAAATTCAAGTCTCCATTTCAGAGACAAATGCATATGTCTTTTTTTTGTTATAAGAAAAAAAAATCTCATGGACAGAATGTTCATTTGGGAGATTAAGAAAGATATTATGGTATTGTTCCTGTTGAACATTTCCTTCTGCAACAGGTATAAGAAGAACAAAGTTAACAAGGCTGACTTTGTAGTAAGAAATAAAGTAATTATTTTGGAATATAAAATATCACATTGGGCATGTCACATCTTGCTTATGACAAGGAGCCATCTCTTCAAACTAATATTAAAAAGCAACTTTATATTGTTGTAGGTTTTTGCATTTGGGAGGAAAGATATTATGGTATTGTTCCTGTTGAACATTTCCTTCTGCAACAGGTATAAGAAGAACAAAGTTAACAAGGTTGACTTTGTAGTAAGAAATAATTATTTTGGAATATAAAATATCACATTGGGCATGTCACATCTTGCTTATGACAAGGAGCCATCTCTTCAAACTAATATTAAAAAGCAACTTTATATTGTTGTAGGTTTTTGGGGCTGTTTGGCTGTGTTCTGGAGGTTTTTTTCTTCCTAATGTTTTGCCAGTCGCGGTGGCTGGCGTCTTCAGAGGATAGGAGCTAGAACTCTGTGTTCTGGTGTAGTGTGTGGGATAGTTGAGTATTTGTAGCTGTGGGATCAACTTTTTGTCCTTTTCAAGAGATTGTGTGATTATGGTGATCATGGTGTTTTTTGTTATGGGTGTATTGTTGTCATAAGGGGGGAGAAGATCTGTCACTGTGATTGATGGGTGTCGTTAGCTAGTCTTTTGTGTTCAGTGATCACCAGTCCTTGTGGCTGGGTAGAGTTTGTTGGCCTTTTTACAGGCTGTATTTTTCAGTGCTGCAAACCAGGCTTTGTTGAGTATTAGACTTTCTTCTTTTTTGGTGAAGCTGTGCTGTTTGTGGATTTCAGTGGCTTCCCTGTGTAGTCTAACATAATGATTGCTGGTGTCGTCCAGTACTTCTGTATTTTGAAATAGGATTTAATGTCCAGCTTGTTTCAGGGCATGGTTAGCTACCACCAATTTTTCTGGTTGTTTTAGTCTGCAGTGTCTTTCATGTTCTTTGATTCTGGTGTGGATGCTGTGTTTTGTGGTCCCAGATATATATTGGTATATATCCTGTCCTCTGAAGATGCCGGCCACAGAGACTGGCAAAACATTAAGAAGAAAAACCTCCAGAGCCTGGCCAAACAGCCCGAAAAATAACCTATAATAACCATCAGATCCCAGCCATGAAAGCCTTCAAGAATACAACTTTATTTTGTCTACATCTTAACAGTGGTGTGTCCTCCTTCTAAACAGATGTGTTGTCCCTATAAAAGAACTCTCCTAAGCATGTTGGCCTAATCTAATTTCACATTTTCTTAATGATCGATTTTCTTGTTTTATTTCTGGATAAATGCCTAGCTGACATTTTAAACAATGGAAAACAATTTTTGATTGATTTCTTGGGAGGCTAGATGTTAACCTTCAGTGGCCTAATCAAATTCCACATTTTCTTAATGATCGATTTTCTTCTTGTTTTATTTCTGGATAAATGCCTAGCTGACATTTTAAACAATGGAAAACAATTTTTGATTGATTTCTTGGGAGGCTAGATGTTAACCTTCAGTCCTTTCCTCAGCCTTTTCCAACCCTTGTAAATAGCAGAGCCTGGAAAAATGACTTTTATGAACTATAGGTGCACAAGGTTGCAACAATGAGAGACCCTTGTCATAATGATGTCACACACATACACACAGACACACACAAAAAATTATGGAAAATTTGAATTACTTGGTATTTGAGAATAGTACATATGATATGAAAGCTAAGCTGCATGTTGACAACTGGGCTCTTTTAAAATAAAAAGTCTTCTAAGTTCCATGGCTGAGGCAGCCTGATAGTAAATGTACACCTTTCACAGAAATCGGGACACACTTGTGAGTAAGGTCATGATTCCTATATCAGGCATCAATCCCCACCTCCAAGACCTTTTTATACTTTATTTTCTTCCTCTGCAGTTGTCGGTCTTACACTGATTTAAAAACAGAAGATCACAGACTGTTGGCTTCTTCATTCGTTATTCCTGTAAACTATGCAACAATTGTTTTAATTTCAACATTGTTTTGAGTTTGGGATGGTGGACAAGAGAGCGTTAAATTAGCTCACTAGCTATAGTTGGGTCCATCCTTTGTCAGGCAAATGACAGACAATATATTGCTTTGAGAATTAGTCATTAGAGAACTTTTCACACATTTCATAATTCAGTGCATTTCCAATGGTTGTTCTGCAGCTATAAAACTAAGAAATATGAATACAATGTGAGCAACTGTGTTAATCTTACCCCTCTGTGCTTAAATCAGGAATATGCCAAGCTTTTTTGTTATGGGGTACATTCCCTCACAAGTAATCTGCTGCGGAATACATTCAGTGGTTGAAGGAGGCCAAAGCAAAGGCGAAGCCCTTAAGTGGATAGATCTATCCTTCCACTCTTCCTTCTACCTTCTATCTTTCCTTTGTCTTTCCCACTTAGGTGCAGGAAATGGAAGGATCACTCTTGCTAAATTTCTGAATGTATGCCTTGCAGAGTCCCTTTAAAATTTGGCTGTGGAGAACTTGAAGTTTAGTTGAGCAAGGACCAGATGTGGCTCTAGAACTGCCAATTGTTCACCTCTATTGTAAGTTATCATCAATATACATTACATTTTTTACAGTGGCTTAGATTCAAGCTGTATTGTAAAGGCTGTGAAAAACCGATCTTCCATTTGATTGGAGTTCCCATGGAACAACTGTCCTGTTTCCTAGGCTCCTCCCATTGACATGCAGCATTCTGAGGTCTTCCGATTCTTTGTGCTTTCTGACAAGCAAGTCTTTCTCTATGCACAGGAAAGACAGTAACAAGCATAAAACCTGTGTCCATCCTGGAGCATCATATCTGTAATCTGTTCATGGTGATGCTGTACATTACAAGATGGTACTCTTCTTTTATCATTTCCACAAGACATTACATTTTCCAAGCACTTTCTGTATGTACTTCAGTTTATCCATGCTCCCAACCTATTTCCTCTGAGGTAGATTTTTGAAACAATTTGCTCTAAAGCAATAGCTAGACTGTTGGCTAGGATCATGTACTGTAGAACTACTTTAACTTATTGATTGTTTTGATGTATTGGTTGAAAATGAGAGGTGAATATTAAAATGGGTTTATTCTTTTTTTCAAAATCTACTGTAAGAGTAACATCTTGGTATTTGTACATGGAGTTTAAGCAATTTGTTGCCATAATCAACACAATCTCTTCAAGAAGCCAATATGTGGATAGGAAGGGTGTAGAACCAATGGTCCAGACATAGGAGGCACTGGAGCCAATTCCGTTACCTCTCACAACCAGGAACCCACAAAATGAATACCATGAACTCAATTCCCAGAAATTGCAGCCTTTTAGCCCAATCCTAGAAAAACAATCAAAATGTCTGTAAACTGCTTTAGCATGAGACATGACTGTGCAACATTGTGTTTGTGCATGAACACTAGATGCTATCTAAACAGACACACAGAGCTAGTCACAAATACACTTTATTAAGTACATTAATATGTATTCTTGCCATTCTCATTCTCGGTGCAGAATGATATGAATGGAATGTCCATTGGGATATTTGCAAAGTTACCTTCTGTGCCACACTCATAGAATAAAACATTATTTAAAAACCTTATTCACAGTGACACAGTATAGCAGAACACAGTGTCAACCCTGTTAAAATAATCTCTGCAATGAAAGGTTGCCAATATGTAGACAAAGTGGATTAACATTTTCTATTCATGATGATACCAAAGGATTATATACTTTAAAAAGGAAATTGATAGCTTGCTAATGAATGAATCTGGTGAGCCATGAAGGTGTTTTGGTTTTTCCTGTATTTCCTTCTAAGAACAAAAGGTGCAGACAGCTAAATACCTACAAGCTTCCTCCTGTGCAAATATTTTCCTGTGGTGCTTTCTTCTGAAATTACAGCAGAAAAAAAGTAGCTCATATTTCAAAGTATGAAATGGCTCTTTTGGAACTTCTACTGCTATACTATGAGGGAAATGTGCAGACTGTTTACAACTGCATGTGTAACTTGTACTGTACAAGTGTGCTAGGTGACTACAATTACTGTATAGCACATTTATTTTATACACAAGCCAATGGTTAATTATCATAAGGAGTAATCTGATGTAGGGACGTGGTGGCGCTGCGGGCTAAACTGCAGAAGCCTGTGCTGCAGGGTCAGAAGACCAAGCAGTCGTAAGATCGAATCCACGTGACGGAGTGAGCTCCCGTCGCTTGTCCCAGCTCCTGCCAACCTAGCAGTTCGAAAGCATGCAAATGCAAGTAGATAAATAGGGACCACTTCGGTGGAAAGGTAACAGCGTTCCGTGTCTAAGTCGCACCGGCCATGTGACCACGGAAGATTGTCTTCGGACAAAAACGCTGGCTCTGTGGCTTGGAAACGGGGATGAGCACCGCCCCCTAGAGTCGAACACGACTGGACAAAAATTGTCAAGGGGAACCTTTACCTTTACCTTTTAATCTGATGTTTGCAGTTTGAGGTCATTATGGGTAACAGTATGGGCATACAATCTTATTTATTTTTGATATTTTGCATAATCTTCCAGCCAGAGCTCACAAGGCAGTGAAAAACTGTACATCCAAGATCAACAAATCGTTGAAAACCATAATCAAACTAGTAAACAGCTAGAAATACAACAACGAACACTTTTCTGAGTTAATGTTTTATATTTAACTAGCATCCTCTGTATAGAGGAAAATAGCTCGAAATCCATTTGCAGAAGTCCATCAAAAGCCTTAACATCTCTTGGGTAAAATAGCCTAAGTAGAGGTAGTATTAGGCAAAAAAAATAGAACAAGGAAAAAAACGTTGAAGCCTAACATAAAAATGTAAGTCTTTATAAGGAGGCACAATTATTTTTTTCTTCTGTTTTTGCCTTATGTTTCTGAATAGAGGCAAGTACTCCCTTCCCAACTCCTCCTCCTGCATAAATTGTCTTAAACGGTATGAAGGCAAAAAACGACATAATTGGGGGTGGGGGGAGAGACTCAAGACGTTAAGGAACCTATCTCAAGCGGGAAAGACTATCCCCAGTCAGCATCCCTCACGTTTACAATACGGCGCCAGGCTGTGACACCAGCGAAAATAAAGAGGAGCGGATCGAGGGAGGAAGGAAAGCGCCGCCTCCTCGACCCTCGCGAGGAAACACTGCAA